TATAGTGAGTAATGAGCTAAGCATCTCTTTCGATGTGATTCTGTATTTTTTTTTTTAATTAGGAGATGTCGCATCTCGTCAAATCAATGAGGATACTCTTATTGCCGCTACAAGGATGACCTCAATTTTTGTAATTTTTATATTATTACATATAAAAGAATGAATAAAATATAAATGATAGAAGCGCGCATGATGAGTTTTCAACTAAGGAATTAAGCCATCATTAAATGAATATTTCATTGAGTTCTTGGTGAGTTGCTTGCTAAACAACAAAGAAGTACAAGACATAATTAAACAAACAAATCAGTGTTTAAACTTATTCACAACCACTTGTATGCTCAACAGTCCATACACCACAATCCTCAAACAGTTAGAGTTTGTCCTATTACAATATACCCTCACAATATACCCCAAGTGAAATATAGCTTATCCTATACTATACTAAAAGTGTTTATTAATGTACCTCACAATGGTTTTAAAATTGATGCTAATTATAACATTTAACGTTTAGTTATATTTAGGGGTGTAAACGAGCCGACTCGTTTGCTTAACGAGCCAAACACGAGCCGTTCACTAATAAAGAGTCATTTTGACAACCATAATCACGTAGTCATAAGATTAATGATTGGGGCAAGATTTAAAACATCATTTGAATCTAATTTAATAATTTTTATTCTATTTTCTTAATTAATAATATTAATTGATTATTAATCTTTGTAGCATTGTAGTCAATTAATCTTTTTAAAAATACTGCTCATTAAATATATATATAATTGATTAGTAGTATTTCAAGTTAAAACGAGCATAACATGAACAAACAAATATTTATTTATGTGTTCGTGTTCGGCTCGTTAACTTAGCGAACGAGCCGAACACGAGTTGTTCGCGAATAAGAAGCAGTTTTGACAGCCCTAGTTATATTGGTACTAAATAACAATTATTATTGTTGCAGTATTAGCGGTATAAAGCATTAGAATATCTTAGAGGTTGTTAGAGCTGATGTAAGTTAATTGTTGTTGTATAATATCGATCACCATTGCCCTTTGCTTCCACCTGCCATCATCATCTCTTGTTCCCTTCTGACCCCCACTAATGCTCGCATCTATCAAAGCCTACGAAATTAGAGAAATAAAATATCATTTTTATTTTATTTTATTTCATTTTTAATTATCTATGTCTGAAAAAAGATGCAAAAGATGTGAAAAAACTTACTATTTTTGGAAAAGAAGTAATCTTTGGGTCATAGTTGATAACTTGGATAAAATCATAATCTTCTTCAATTTATTTATTTATTTATTTATTTTATACAGAGAAAAATATAAATAAATATTGAGGATGAATTTGAAACTTTGAATCTTTGTGATGATTTAATTGCATAAAAATAATAGAAAGTTAGAGACAAGCATAGATATGTAGGAAGAATTGTAGACTGAAAGCTGTATTTTCATTACCCTCTTCTAATACAATTTTTATTTATTTATATAGTAGAGACATTATTAGTACAGTAAAGAGGGGTAGAAGAAGCGAATATATATCAAAGTCATGTAGAAGTTGTTGATTCTAAATGATGTTAGTTGTAGAGGTTGGAAGAACCTGATATTTTGCTTCCGTGGAAGATCTGACAACATTAGACAGTTTCCAGGGTGACAAGCTAGACTCTTTTATCAATTTGGTCTTGAGTTTGGATCTGAGGGTCTCTCGTAGATCTTATAGAGAGGACACAGTGAGTAATATAGAAGTGAGGCTAGAATATACTCAAAACTATTACACAGGCTGGAACGAACTTAAGATTAGTCAATGTTCTTTGCATGCACCCAGAGGGGGTAAGGAACGAGTATGTTCCTATTTGTCACAATATGTTATTTTATATTTTTAAAACATTCAAATCCTACACTGGTTAAGATCTCTTTACAAAGAGAAAGATCTTTTGATAATATTCGAACTTTTTTAAACCTTATGAGTTTAGAAAATTTGCACTTACTTTATGCTTAAAATTAGGTTGCATATAAATTTAGTTTTAATCCTTTACAAATATTTCGACATTATTCTCCTATCACTTTTATCTGCAATTTAGATATAAATTTTTTCATGTTATTATAAAAAGTTACAGCTTCTCCGTGGGATCGATACTGGGGTTTTTAAGGAAAACTCTATATTACTTGAAACGATATGTATAATTGAGTAGTACCCCTACTGTGAAAACTTATTATTTATTTTCTAAATCATTTTATTTATTCACACTAGACGCTAAATGTAATTTGAGCCAAGTTTTTGGCAATCTTTTGGAATATAAATATCTGCACAATTGCGCGTCAGGTCACTGCCCCACAACCCTACATGTGTCTTACTAGCTTAAGATGGCATGGCAAATACCCTTTATCTCAAGAAACATATTGATTAAAGTCTACATTAGCTTAAACATAATGATTCTTCATCTTGGGAAGATAACTTTACCTTATCACAAGAACTTTTCCTTAGAAAACAATGATTTAAGGAATCGTGTTACATTTTTAACTCATCATTTAATGCATAGTTACCATGATCTACAAACTTACCAATCATGGTAACCTTCTTCATTATAACTAAATAATTAAATCACTTGCCCTAGACCGATCTTTCATAGTCCAATATGTTTTTATAATTTTAATAATCAAATCAAAACTATATAGTCCAATTAATAATTCTTAAGAAGATTTGAAAACTCTCGATCTCCTAATTCTTTTTGCTATGCTTACTACTCATAAAACTCTCACTATTATAATATAATAGTTATGATTATATAGTTGTAATATGCATAGGTCATTTTGATCAAACCACTCTAAATTATTAACTATTATGTTTGTTTCTTTTTATATAGATAATGTAATTCTTTTTGCATTTGTAAAATCTCACTCTCTTGGTTTATATTATAATAATGATTGTATTCATCTCAATAATGTGTGTAAAAGGTCCAATGAGAAGATTAAGAAGGTCGTTTGATGACGCATCCTAACTTGAGAAAATTATAAAATGGACAGTGACATATACGCCATAAATGATAAAAGCTAGTAGTAATAAATGGTGTCCCTACATGGCACACTTAAAGGCAATCAAATACCAAGTGGCAAACATCTCACGATCATGCGATAAGTAAGTAATTTGAACCTTGAGAGTGATTGAAACTTATTGTAAAGATCTTGCAATCTTATATAAATTAGTTTTGGCATCTTTATCACTTTATATACTAGATGATAATCATTACGCATGATGGCATAAAAGAAGAATTTATTAGAGTCTAAGACATGAACCCAATAAATTTGGAGAAACACTCCAAGCAAATGAGCTAAATAAGATTGATCAATAGGTCCTAAATTATTTGATTGATATTGTGGTGGGATGAAGTTATTTTGAAATCATCAAATCATCTCTTAAGTATTATATATTTTGATTAAATAAAAGAGGCTTGAAGTGATCATTCTTTTGTAGTGTAGTTCATTTTGTGCTAACACTAGGCCAATCCCACTTAGGCTATGATTGAAATCTAATTGCTATACTTGTAAGTTAATGGAATCTCAATTCAAATTGCTTGACAGATGGGTGCCTATGATAAGACTAGCCGAAGGTGTTATAATTATAAATGGTTGGTGGTTTTATATTCCAATATAATATTAAAAGTGATGTCTAACATTCTAGTATAAGCTTTAGGATTAACATATATATGACCCTAATTATAAAAATGCGAATAAATTTAACATAATAGTATTATAGGCTTAAAGTAAGGTCCTAAATTTGTGCTCAACTAAAGTAGAATTGCTTTGCAATATGAAAACTATAGAAATTTGTGTGAGTCTAGGCGTGCAAACTAGTCGAGTTAATAATTATGTTAATTGTACTATCTAAGATTTAAGTACGAGCTTTAGAATAGCTCTCTCTCTCTCTCTCTCTCTCTCTCTCTCTATATGGTCAGATATTTGCTTCTCAGTTGTAAGTCCCCTCTGGTTTGGGGGTTCGATTTCCCTCGTTGGAAGGTGTCGTACTCAAATTTTTACCCGCATGATCGGGGCTCGTATGATAACCTCAAGCAATTCCTTCACACACACACACACACACACACATAACTTTAATAATATAAAATATGTCTAACTAACAATACATAAAAGAAGACTTAAAACCAGGTCTCAATTGTGTATTGAGCTAAAGTGCAATTGTTTTACAATATAAAAATTATTTAAAGGTTAGTGACCAGGGGTGTGAATGAGTCGATTTGAGCTCGAGTGGCTCTCTATTTAAACTAGAGCTTGATTAATTAAGCGGTGGGTTTGAACTCAAGCTCAAACTTAATTATGTGAATTTGAGCCCTCTCACACTCACAAGCCGGGTTTCCCGTTATGAATGAGAGCAAGTAATGTTGATTAAAATTAGTCTTATAATAAAAAAAAAGATAATTTGAATAAGTAATTAGATGATAAACAGTAAAAAGTTAATTGATATAAAATATAAAATATAAAATATAAAATATCATTTTTTAATAATTTAAAGCTGTTGTCTTAGAAATTTTTAAGATTTTTCGGTGGCATAAAATTGGAAATATTACATTAGACTCCGCACGTAGAGTTACGTGCGGAGTTTAATGAAATTACGCAGTGAGGTGATTGACCTGATAACACAAAAGAATATTCTCCTCGTGTTATTTATGTGTTATTGTGTGTTATTCAAGTTTTATTGATGTGTTATTGTGTTATTATAAAATCGAGAATATGCCCAGAACATAATAACACCTGAATAACATACAAAAACACTTGAATAACACACAATAACATTTGAATAATAAGAGGGAAATATTATCTTATATTTTCGGGTCACCTCCACACGTGTAATTTCATTGGACTCCGCACGTAATAATATATTTTCATAAAATTGGCCCCAATTCTATTTAAAATTTTCTAATCCCTATTCACGTCTAAAGCACGCCGGAATCAGTGACTAATCATCTTCTTTTGCTCTGGTTTGTTTATTTATTTATTTATTGACTTAAATTTAGCAAAGCTTTCGTCGTCTCGCGCATTGAGGTTCTCGGCTTCAAGCAGCCATATTTGTCTCAGAATATCTCCGCCTGATTTCATCGTTCATCATCGAGCCTTTACTCGAGGGTCAGCCATTGCGGCTGTCGAAGTCGCCGATGTGTTTTTGTTTGATGATCGGCCGGGGATGAGTTTTGTTTAATCTTCCAACTTTTGAGGGGATTTAGCCGCTTTTATTCAGCGGTGTTAAGGTGAAGTTCTTGGATCAGAAATTGCTTTTATTCACTGCTAGGGCTTATGTGATCGGGGCTCTGATTGCTGGACTCGCATTCTTTCTTTGGGACGATTTCAGGTGAGTGTTTTGGTGGAAAAGGGGGATTTGGCCTGCTGAGTTTATTGATTTGGTTGAATAAGGGCATGATAGAGGGATCTTTGCTGTAAGAATGTTCTCGAGCCGGCCTTTAGTGCATCCGGTGGAGGCACCACCTCTCACTGATGCAACTGAGAATCGCCCGCCTAGGGTTAGGATGAAGGACATTCAGGGCATGCCGGGGACGTCCGGGGGTCTTGCCCTTCGTTTATTTCAATTTATCTTTGCTGGGGCAGCTTTGGGTGTGATGGCCTCCACCAATGATTTCGGCTCTGTCACTTCTTTCCGGTAACTTAGTTCGTTGGTTATTCTCTTATTCCGTTTTCTTTTGTTTCTAGGCTCCTGGACTTTCCGGTTATAAGTTGTTATTAGATGGTCACACAGAAGTTGAGAAAGATCTTTAGAAGAGAAGAATTTAATCAGGTTAATTTGTTTGATAAAAGTAAATGATGATTTTTATAGACATAATTATTTCAGTTATTTGCTGTGCACTGCAAATAAATGATTTAAGTATGTTTAATTTTCATACGGATTTTATTGGAATAATTGGATTCAAATATATAATTTAGTTTATTTTAGAAAATGAAGGGGTTATGATTTTCAGTGTGGTAGTCTAGTTATGAGTACAAATTCATAAATTAATTGATTACAAGAGACTTATAGTTAGCCAGTTTGGAAGGTATAATTATGTTTCACTTGGAATTTCATCTCTTATAAATTATAATTATTATTTATTATTTATTATTATGAAAATGTTGGCTAATTGGATCGTAAAAGATTTATTTGCTTGCCTTTGATACCTATAATATCTCCCTTCTCTTGATGTGAGCTCTGCTGAGATTCTTACACTATATGAGTGGAGCATGCTAATCACTTGTAGATGTCCTTCTTGCTGGAACAAGGCTTAAAGTTGAAGAATAATGTGAAGTAGGAATGAAGTTGTTTAAGTATTGTCAACCCTATGATACATTTAATTTAGCTATGTAATTTGTCTGACCAATACTAGTGGTATGCTTTTATATTTATGGATTCTATAGAATTTTTTATTTGATAATGATAGTGAATATATAAAAGATCTTAAATTATTGTTTATATTTTTTATATCATAGTGTTGTGCTTATTATGCCTTTGTTAGTTCATTTTGAATAACATTTGTAATATTTGTCATCATAATCTTCATAATTATCATTATCATTAGACTTGTGTTAATTATTTGGAATTGGTTCTATGAATCCTTATTTTTTCATTCAATCATGTTAAGTACCCGTTGAATTGTTAAATTTTAAATTTGAATTTATTTCATTTGTTTCAGTATATATTTATGATTGATTGTGGACTTAAATATAAACCATTAATCTTTCTTATTTGTGGGAATTGACAATGCATTTATTTGTTAATTTTATTGTTATCCATTTGCTAAATCTGCTTGTGTTGCCTCAACATTTGATGCAAACTTAATCAAGTATTGAATTATTAATCTTGTTCTTGTGATATTTAGTTCCTTTATATAAGTCTAAAAGGCTTGGTCATGTTAATCATCAACCATTTGATGATCCTATTTGGAGAGTACATGTTTAGATTTGACTTTATTACGAAAGGTAGAGGTAGATCTAAAAAGATTGGGCATGTTGTATAAAAATGATCTTAATTTTTTAAAATTAAATGAAAATAAGACAATCAATAGTACATAATGGAGCAAAAGGATTCATGTAGCCCTCCACTTAGTGGGATAAAGGCTTGTTGTTGTTGTTTTTGTTGTGATATAAAGTCTAAAAGGTTAATGGATTCTTCTGAATGCCATAAAAGTATGTGATTTTTTATTTTGTATATTTAGAAGGCATCTTGTTTCTTGCACATAGGAAGTCTTGATCAAGAGATACTTTTAGATATGAGAAATTGGATGAATCCAAGAAATGATGGATGATTTAGCGTCAATGATAGACCTTTAGGTGAGAAAATCATTGTGTTAAACTAACAACATTATGCCCTTTCCAAAATTGTATAGGTCTATCAAGAGTTTATACTTTAATTGAGATGGAGTGTAAGCTGGGAGATCACTAAGGAAATATTGAAAGCAAGTTGATGCAACTAATATGGTGTGGAAAATATTTTTGCAAAGAAAAATTGAGGATTCGTATATTACTTGTTACCAATTAACTCACTTTTTAAAATGGAAATAATAAATAGTAGTCTTTAAACCTAATTGATAATTAAATAATCATAAATCCAAGAATTTTATTAAATATTTGGAACTATTAAAACTTGCATGAAAATGAATTAATTTCCTCAAAAATAGTTTTATGACATATCAAACTTTGACCAAAATCAAGAGTACTGAACTAACCAATAACTGATTATATAAAAGAAATAGATAAGGAACAAAGATACTAAACAAAAATTCATGCCTTATGTTGGCACAAAGATATTAATTTCCCATAATTAGGTAGTCGCATTCCTTCTGTGCTTAATTTGCATTCACAATATTGAAAACTAGAAGAATAATTTTATGCATGCTAAGTGTTTTAAATTATTTGTCTCATATCACTGTTTATAGAATCCTCATATTTCAGGCTAGTAGATAAAGTTGGTAGAGGATTAGTTATGGTGGATAACAGGAATTGATGGGTTAGCTACAAGAATTAACGTGCACAATTACAATAATTAACATTTTCTATTGTTATACTTATGACCTGTCTTGGACAGATGTTGATTATTTATAATCTGTTGATAAATAGATTATTCTAATAATCTGATAATCTGCAGATTATCAGAATAAGCTGACTTGTTGTTTAAGACAGCTTATTTAGAACAGCTTACTGACAGCTGTTGTTGGATAAATGACTACTCTACCCCTGTTTGGTTAAGTTGTTTTTAACAGAATTTTATGAGTACGGAAATAGATAAAACAGAACTCACAAATCATTACAGATCAGTTCAAAAAGATAACATAGAGTACTCATACTATTCATCACATGTAGTCCTCGATTTTGTAAGTTTCCTATTAAAACTTTTCAAGGATTGCATTAATTTTCTACATAATGCAAATAAAATTTAACTTATGTTAACAAAGATAGAGGTAGACCTAAAAAGACCTAGGCATGTTGTATAAAAAATGATCTTAATTTATTAAAATTAAATGAAAATATGACACTCAATATGACACAATGGAGAAAAAGTATTCATGTAGCCGACCCCATGTGGTGGGATAAAGGCTTTTTGATGTTATTGTATATTGTCTTAGTTATGCTTGAAAAGGTGTATTTTATTTTTTTAAAGTTAAATGGTTGCATTTTTTATGTGATTTGCAAGATTTGGGTGGTAAGAATGTGAAAAACAAAATGTAGGTGTTAGATATGTAAATTCATAAGAATTGAGTGATATTCAAAGTTGAATGCCGAAGCAAGGATCACCCTTAAAATTCTAAATGTTGTCTAGGTTAACAAGACATGCACGGTATTGAGAAATTTCCTCAAAAAATCATTATAAATGAAAAATAAATTGCCTCTACCGGTTCTTTTCATATTGAAATCAGTAAAATTCCATTTGTTCAATCATACAAAAGAAATTTTGAATGTAGAAGCAAGTTCTGAAGTGGAAGCAAAACTAGACTCTAATTAGAAAGAGAAAACAATCCGTGGTGAGAAAGCAAAGACCTGAATAACGGCGGCAGAACCAAAATTGAGAGCGGAATAAGAGATCCCGTAGAGGAAGACGATGTCAGGTGATATGTCGGACTCGATTCACCGCCACAACCACTCAAAGCACGGCATCGCATCGCCAGACATGGAGAATTTTGAGGTAAAATAAATCGCCGAAGCCGGGAGTTACCGAGTCTGCGAGGATTTCGAACAAGAGGGAGGTGCGAGGATGTTGAGAGACGTGATCGAGAGAGACGAGGGACGCGATTGATCGAGAGAGGCGAGGGCGAGGGCAAGGGCGACAGGTGAGAAGGGCACAAGAGGAATATGCGAGAATGGAGACGCGGGACGCGGGTCGATCCCGCGTCCCCGTCTCTTAACAAATAGCGAACGTCATTTGGGTGCGGTTACAAAACGCTGGACAGACGCAATATTAAAACACTGCGGCTGCGTTTTGACCCCAATAAGCTGCCCCAAACGGGCCCTTAATCTATATGGTTGTTTCTTTATTTAGATTTTCTCATTTATATAGGAATTAATGTATTAAAATAAAATTGACCGGCATAAGGTAATATTTTATAATCTATACAAATGTCAATTAAGATCTGGGAATAAAGCATTCTACTACCAAATTAATTTGAGATTAGAGGCACTAGTTTAGAATTTTCTCTGCTGCAATGCTGAAATTGAAATCTTTGAAAGCAAAAACTGCAAATAATAATCCAAGCTATGATGAATGAGAGGTTGAAGATGATCTTGTAATGTCGTGGGTTATAAATTCATGACTTTCAAACTCATGCCTCACTTTGTGCAGTGTGGAATGACTAAGAATGTTTGGGAGGCTATTTGGAGAAATTATTTGGACGTCTTTTCAGTTACATCAAGATTTGTTGGCTCATTGCAGAATACTGCAAATAGTTAATGATGATGTTTTTGGAGCTTGACTATTGTAAGCCCATTGAAATGAAATAAATATTTTGACACGAGAAAGAAATTGCTGAGGATCATGTCCATATGTTTATGTTTCTTGTTAGCCTTGATCAAATAGTTTATATCAAGTTAGTAGTCATGTTTTGGCTACTTTTCCTTTATTGAGCTTGGAAGAAACCTTTTTAATCATTTATCATGAAGTGTAGAGGCAATTTATCACGGGAATTAAAGATTATTCTAAGGCATTAGCCCTTATGGTTCAAAGGAACAACTCTCAACCATTATCTTTTGCAGCTTTCGACTGTTCTTCATGTTTTTGCACTTACTATAACAACAACAGACATACTATGGGCGTTTGCTGTGAAAAACATGGTTATTTAGTGTGGTTCAAACTTAAGCAAGTTGAAAAGAAAAATAAGAAAATTTTTTGAGGTTATGCCTATCCATTTTTTGCTTCTATTGTATCTCGAGTATCTTCTAATACCTATCACAGGCTAAGTCTATTCAAGTTAATGAGACCCAATTCTGATCTCAGCGGCAAGGAATGTCTGACTTTCTCCATCAGTCATGCTTTTTTGTTTGATTTGTCCCTTGTCTTTTTAATATTCTCCTACCCCTTAGCAAGGTCACTATACTTTTTAATTGTTTTCATTATGTTCGTGTTTCAAGACAATCTTGCAAATAAGGCTATTGACATTGGTAAGAAAAGCGGAGGTCTTA